ATAAAGGAAATAAATCTTTATTTTCTATAGATTCCATCGTGCTGGACACCTGGAAAAGTAAATAAACAAAATAAAGAAAATAAAGATTTAATTTCTTTATTTTCTTTATTTTCTTTTTGAGACTCCAGGAAAATAAAGAAAATAAAGAAAAAGAATCTTTATTTTCTTTATTTTCTTTTTGAGGCTCCAGGAAAATAAAGAAAATAAATCTTTATTTTCTTTATTTTCTTTTTGAGGTTTCAGGAAAATAAAGAAAATAAAGAAAATAAATCTGTATTTTCTTTATTTTCTTTATTTACTTTTGCAGGTGTCCAGAAGGATGGAATCTATAGAAAATAAAGATTTACTTCTTTATTTTCTTTATTTTCTTTTTAAGGCTCCAGGAAAATAAAGAAAATAAAGAAAATAAATCTTTATTTTCTTTATTTTCTTTTTGAGGCTTCAGGAAATTAAAGAAAATTAAGAAAATAAATCTTTATTTTCTTTACTTTCTTTATTTCTTTTTGAGGCTCCAGGAAAATAAAGAAAATGAATCTTTATTTTCTTTATTTTCTCTATTTTCTTTATTTACTTTTCCAGGTGTCCAGCAGGATGGAATCTATAGAAAATAAAGATTTATTTTCTTTATTTTCTTTATTTTCTTTTTGAGGCTCCAGGAAAATAAAGAAAATAAAGAAAATAAATCTTTATTTTCTTTATTTTCTTTTTGAGGCTTCAGGAAAATAAAGAAAATGAAGAAAATAAATCTTTATTTTCTTTATTTTCTTTTTTTCTTTTTGAGGCTTTAGGAAAATAAAGAAAATAAAGAAAATAAATCTTTATTTTCTTTATTTTCTTTATTTTCTTTTTGAGGCTCCAGGAAAATAAAGACAATAAAGAAAATAAATCTTTATTTTCTATAGATTCCATCGTGCTGGACACCTGGAAAAGTAAATAAAGACATAAAGAAAATAAAGAAAATAAAGAAAATACAGATTTAATTTCTTTATTTTCTTTATTTTCTTTTTGAGGCTCCAGGAAAATAAAGAAAATAAATCTTTATTTTCTTTATTTTCTTGTACTTTAAAATAATGAAGATTAGTAAAGGCGTCAAATAGTACAGAAAGGTCTCTCTAACATATATATATATATACATATTCATTACTTATTCTATATTTTATGTTATATATTATATTATAATATAATATAATATAATATAATACTAATGTATTTATATTATATTATATGATATTAAATATGTTATATTATATATTATATATATTATATCATATATATATTATATTGTGTATACTATATTATATATATGATGTTATATATATAATATATATATATATATATTGGTAGGACCAGTGGCTGCTAAACATCCCTACAAAAAGCGGTGCTAGGAGGGTGGCCGGGGAGGGTGGCAGGGAGGGTGGCGGGGTTCACCAATTATTGGTGCAACTTTGGGTGCGCAAAAATTATCTTTCCTTAAGTTTTTTGATGTGTGACGCCCGCACCAATATTTTGTTTACGTTTTTCATGTGTTTTTTTCAGCCTCCGCACGGTTTGCCTGCCCGTCACTGTGTCTTGAACACTTTCCTTCAGAAATGCAAAATTTGCAACATGGATTTGAAGCAGGAGAATCCGAGCGTCAAGGATATGCTTTGGTCCCGGAGAAGCCGTTGATAATTCTTAATGCAGTCCCAACTTGGACAAAATTAAAGAAAACAACTTTACAGTGACGGGTTTTGATTATGCAATTAAAGATGCTGGCCACAAATCAAACATGTCTGCCCGATTGCTGGTGAAATTTTCTTCGCATCATTGAACCCCAAGTGCAGCAACTTCAGCGTACTCTCTCCTTCAAATTATTCGTGCCAAAACCCGTTTCCGGGAAACGGAGACACACGAAATAGTTTGGGTTCTAGATACTTTTCTCGTCAGTGGAATTGCTTAAAGGGTACAATTAAACTACTATACAAATGCGGCTAAAAAAATGGAAATGCAGGCAAGCAACTATAAAGAAAATAAGCTTCGGTGGTATCCCCAACAGCCGCAACGTTTTATTTTTACAAATCTTTCTGAAGCGTGCTGCGAAACCAAGCGCTGGAAACCCTTTGAACCTGTTGGAACCTGACCTGGCCCTGCACCAAAGATTCCCCAAACCTTCTCCGGGACCTTCTCTGCAACCTGCTCCGGGACCCGTTGAACCTGACCTGGCTCTGCACCAAAGCCTCCCGGAACCTTCTCCGGAACATTCTCCGGAACCTTGTTGAACCTAACCTGGCTCTGCACCAAAGCCTCCCACACCTTCTCCGGAACCTTCTCCGGAACCCTGTTGCACGTGACCTGGCTCTGCACCAAAGCCTCCCAGACCTTCTCGGAACCTTCTCCGAAACCCTGTTGAACTGATCTGGCCCTGCAACCTTCTCCGGGACCCGTTGAACCTGACTTGGCTTTGCACCAAGGCTTCCCAAGAGCTTCTCCGGAACCCTGTTGAACCTGACCTGGCGCCTCCCAGACCTTCTCCGGAACCTTCTCCGGAACCCTGTTGAACCTGTTGACTTGGCTTTGCACCCGGGCTTCCTGGAACCTTCTCTGGAATTTCCGGAACCCTGTTGAACCTGACCTGTCTCTGCACCAAATCCTAGACCTTCTCGGGAACCTTCGGAACCTTCTCCGGAACCTCGTTGAACTTGACCCGGTGCCTGCACCAGTGCACCGGAGCTATTCTGGGCTGAAGACCCCGTCAGCTTACGCTGTTGGGGACAAACTGCGGACCTTTGCGCTGATCCATGTTGGACAAAATCTGTGGAAGTTCAAGATACTCGGTCATGGAAAATCGATTGAGAATAAAGAAAATCGGTAAAAACCATCGAATAACCTATAAAACCATATATACATGGAAAACTCCATAAAAAGTTCGAAATCAATGAAAACCATCGAAAAATCAATGAAAACCATCGATTCTTGCTGAAAACCAAGAGAAATCCATGAAAACGATCAAGAAATTCGAGAAAAAACAAGGAAAAATCGAGTTTGACATGGAAAATTGGTCCGAGCCAGCTTGACTGCTTCCAAACATTGGAGATCCGCGCTGATCCGCGCTGATCCGCGTTGATCCGCGCTGATCCGCGCTGATCCGCGCTGATCCGTGCTGAACTGCGCTGATCTAGAGCAAGAGCTGAGTACGCAAGAATTTAGCGCGGATCAGCGCGGCGCACCGCGGATCAGCGCGGATCAGCGCGGATCAACGCGGATCAGCGCAGATCAGCAGGATCAGCGCGGATCAGCGCGGATCAGCGCGGATCAGCGCGGACCAGCGCCGACCAGCGCGCACCAGCGCGGACCAGCGCGGATCAGCGTGGATCAGCGCGGATCAGCGCGGGCCAGCGCGGATCAGCGCGGATCAGCGCCGATCAGCGCGGATCAGCGCGGATCAGCGCGGATCAGCGCGGATCAGCGCGGACCAGCGCGGACCAGCACGGATCAGCGCGGATCAGCACGGATCAGCGTGGATCAGCGCGGACCAGCACGGATCAGCGCGGATGAGCGGATCAGCGCGGATCAGCGCGGATCAGCGCGGATCAGCGCGGATCAGCGCGGATCAGCGCGGATCAGCGCGGTCCAGCGCGGTCCAGCGCGGACCAGCACGGATCAGCGCGGATCAGCACGGATCAGCGCGGATCAGCGCGGACCAGCGCGGACTAGCGCGGACCAGCGCGGACCAGCGCGGATCAGCGCGGACCAGCGCGGATCAGCGCGGACCAGTGCGGACCAGCGCTGGCCAGTGCGGATCAGCGCGCAGATCAGCGTGGATCAGCGCGGACCAGCGCGGACCAGCGCAGACCAGCGTGGATCAGCGCGGATCAGCGCGGATCAGCGCGGATCAGCGCGGATCAGCGTGGATCAGCGCGACTCTGCGCGGTCCAGCGCGGCCCAGCGCGGATCAGCGCGGAGCGGATCAGCGATTAATAAGCGCGGATCAGCGCCGATCAGCACGGATCAGCGCGGATCAACACCCATCAGCGGGCATTAGTTCGGAGATCTTCCATAGAAGCGCAGGGCAAGTGAGATGTGAACATGGAATAGCACCAAGCATGGTGAGTATTATTGTGCTATTTTTTAAAAAATTTGTCAAGGAACAAAGTTTTTCCTTGACGCCGATGGGTGCTACATCTCATGCGATGTCTTGCTCCTCTTTTCTGCCACCCGTCCTGCCCCTTAAAATACCTCAAATCAATATAGCTTGGTGCCCTCCTAATACCCTCTTCAGCCACCTGTCAGGCACCAAAAATCAATAGTTTTCATCCCCCCTCATCCCTGTTCCGCCACCCTTCCTGCACCACAAATCAATAGCCTTAATGTCCTGCCACCCTGTTCCGCCACCCTTCCTGCACCACAAATCAATAGCCTTAATGTCCTGCCACCCTGTTCCGCCACCCTTCCTGCACCACAAATCAGTAGCCTTAATGTCCTGCCACCCTGTTCCGCCACCCTTCCTGCACCACAAATCAATAGCCTTAATGTCCTGCCACCCTGTTCCGCCACCCTTCCTGCACCACAAATCAGTACCTTAATGTCCTGCCACCCTGTTCCGCCACCCTTCCTGCACCACAAATCATAGGTTTTGGTATCGGTTTGCTCTTCCGGCTGCTTAGCAGGCAGTGGGTCTCTCAATATATATATATATATATATTATATATTATATATAATATAACATTTTATATATTATATATTATACATTATATATTATATTATATAT